TGACAGTTCTCTGACTTTCACATTTACAGCGATTGAAACATCTGTATCCTAAATGGAAACAAATAGATACAATGTTTCAACCGCTGTACATGTGAAGGAACTGTCAGAGAACTGTCAGAAATAGCGGAGCTCTCTGCAGGGACACTTTTGCCGGCTGATCGGGAAAAATCCGATTCGCGCACCCGAAGTAGGCTAATATTCGGATTCGACGCGAATCGAATTTTTCCTGAAATTCGTATCGAATTCCGGTTCGCCTGGTTCGATTCGCTCATCTCTAGTTGGGTGTCCTACATGTGTGGATGTTGCTATTAGAATAGTTTTTCACATTTTAGAATGGGGTGCCCTTTTAAAATTATGGACAGTCTTGAGGCACCCCATTTTAGAATGGGGTGCCTCGGGACTGTCCATAATTTTAAGGTGTGTCTCGGGACTGTCCATAATTTTAAGGGGTGCCTCAGGACTGTCCATAATTTTAAGGGGTGCCTCGAAACTGTCCATAGTTTTAAGGGGTGCCTTGGGACTGTCCATAATTTTAAGGGGTGCCTCGGGACTGTCCATAATTTTAAGGTGTGTCTCGGAACTGTCCATAATTTTAAGGGGTGCCTCGGGACTGTCCATAATTTTAAGGGGTGTCTCGGGACTGTCCATAATTTTAACGGGTGCCTCGGGACTGTCCATAAGTTTAAGGGGTGCCTCGGGACTGTCCATAATTTTAAGGGGTGCCTCGGGACTGTCCATAATTTTAGGGGGTGCCTCGGGACTGTCCATAATTTTAAGGGGTTCCTCGGGACTGTCCATAATTTTAAGGGGTGTCTCGGGACTGTCCATAAGTTTAAGGGGTGCCTCGGGACTGTCCATAATTTTAAGGGGTGTCTCAGGACTGTCCATAATTTTAACGGGTGCCTCGGGACTGTCCATAAGTTTAAGGGGTGCCTCGGGACTGTCCATAATTTTAAGGGGTGCCTCGGGACTGTCCATAATTTTAAGGGGTGTCTCGGGACTGTCCATAATTTTAAGGGGTGCCTCGGGACTGTCCATAAGTTTAAAGGGTGCCTTGACTGAAAGAAGGTTGAGAAACACTGATGTCATAAATGAGGAGAACAAATACAAAACCACTCTACGTTCCTTTAACATAAAATTTGAGACCATCACACTTACAAGCACTGAGGACCAACGTCTTTCTGAATCGTACATCTTCCTTCATTACAGGACTTGTACTTTGCATAGGCCGGATCACAAAATGACATGCAGGTCAGTCCATCAGAAGTGATTGTTTCTATGTAGAACGCTTTATATCCATCTTCAATAATACTACAGACTGGGAACAAATAAAAAATTTAAAACTTTATCTGGCACCCTGTATGATTGAAAAGCCATTTTATCCACTTTAAAAAGAATGAATTACCTTGGGGTTTAGGAACCTCGTTTTGTGTGACATTCCCGTATTTTTCATCAAAAACCAGACAAGTAGAAGCTGTACGGAAAAGAAAATTGAGTTTGGTGGAACAAAGAACTATTTATCTGCTTAAATTATTACTCTGATATCAACAGATATGTGAAAGTTAAAACGGAGTCATCTGAATGAAAGTGCAACCAATCTACTACTCTCTTGCCTCTGCAAAACACCGCCTAAAGGTGGGAATACACGATTAGAAAATCAACCGATCGGTCATCCGACGACCGAGAGGCGTTCGTTCGTTGGTCGAAATCGTGACCCACATTAACCAATCTAAAAAAAAATCGTTCGTCGGGCAATACGTAGTGTTGACGTCTTCCGTACAAGTGGGAGTGATGCGGTGTGCGTGTGAACTTGTAGCCACGCCCTTGTGGCCAGAATGAGCGATCTACACAACAATTACCAGCAATGAGTATAATATCGTTTATTACATGACCTATATACATAAATAGTGATACATAAAAATATAATGTGACGGGAGTGACTTTGGGTGGGGGGCCCATGGAACCCAGCTCACTTTGGAGAGGTGGGGAGACCCCTGTCTCAGCTCCCCATATCCCTATTATGTGTAAGTCACCCTGTGCCTGTTAGGGGTACAGGGTGATCTGTCCTAATATTGTGTAGACATGTCTAGGAGATAGGTGGGGTGGGGGTTGTGGATTGTTTGGTGTTATGTGGTTGCATCCCATTGTTCTATTGTGTGTCTTGCTTGGGAGCAAATTATTATGGGATGTATGTGTTTAAGCTTAGTGGGGGGGGGTGTCTCCAGCAGCCCTCCCTCCTGATGGGACTGTCTGCTGGTGTGAAGTTTGAGTACCTGTGTGTCTCTTGTTACTAAATGTAGATTGCCCCACCCTGTGTCATTATGCAGGGAGGGGGGATTTGTCCCCTGAGTGTATATATCTTGTATCTGTGTTCAAATAATGAGTCTACCTTCTGGATTACTTGAAGATTGGTGTTGTCTAGTCTTGTATGGTCTGCTGTGGTGTCTGTGGTCGGTGTTCGGACGGGGAAGCGGTAGTCTAACGGAAGTACCCAAGCGCAGTCTGGGGTCGGTTCCGTTACCTATAATATGCAATTTCTGGTTTCATTATCTCATTGGGCCAATTTACTTTTAACATTTGGATTTTTCGTTCGTGTTTACGATGATTCCTTGGACATAGAAATACGAGTCATCTTCTGTTTCCGCTCATGCGTGATAGCGCTTGATAGATTTTTTTTGTACGACCGTCATACCACCGCATAGAAAACTGGTCGTTCCGATGCAAAATGACAATGGATTTTTTCGTTCATAATATCGTTATCAGTTAAAACATCCTGCTCATCAACGAAGAGAAAATCATTTGATCAGGGGTTCCGTAAAATTTTTCGTACGATTTTCTTATCATGTGTACGTGGCATTAGGTTAGGTTCACACCTCTGCATGTATCGATTGATGCGTTTTTCTGGCACGTTTTTCGGTGCTTTTTTGAACACGTGTTTTTGATGCATTTTAATGTGTTTCTTTTATGTGTTTTGCTTTTTGGGTTTTATGAAAATGTTGTTTTTAGGGGGATGTGTTTGTTGTCATGCAAGTGAAAAAAACACAAAATGCAGTGGAAAAAAAAAAACGATACCTGCGATTCGATTCTGATTCAATACCATTGAGTTCTATTAAACCAAAAAGGCAAATTGTTGCAAGAAAAAAAGTCCCTGACCCTTTCCTAAAAACGTACCAGCCGAAAATGCACAGATGTGAATGTGAACCATAGGAAATCATGTTAAATGGACTGTAGTGAGGGTCTGCAAACCGGGAAATACACTGGAAGTTTGCACCTAATGTGAACCTAGAGTAAGACCCTGAATACATGGGCAATGGTTCCTCTTAATTAACCACTTCCAGTCCGGACACTTCACCCCCTTCCTGTCCAGGCCAATTTTCAGCTTTCAGCGCTATCACACTTTGAATGACAATTGCACGGTCATGCCACACTGTACCCATATGAATTTTTTAGCATTTTTTTGAGACAGATAAAACTTTATTTTGGTGGTATTTATTCACCACTGGGATTTTTTATCTTTTTTTGCTATATAAATGAAAAAGTCCAAAACTTTTTAAAAAAGTGTTTTTTTATAACATTTTGCAAATAAATAATCTCTCTTCATAAATCTCGGCCAAAATTTATTAAGATATCTTTTTAGAAAAAAAAATAACCCAAATTAGTTTATAACCAAAACTTATTTTTCAAAATTTTTTTTACATTTTTATTTTATTTATATTATTATTATTAATGTTTTTTTTACATACTGTCACCCTAGCAGTACAGTGTCACCATGGTGACACTGTACTACTTGTGGGGGGTAATGAAGATTTTTTTTTTTTCTTTACACTGATTGCTTTTACACCCATAAAGGCTGTAAAAGCAATCATTTCTCCTTCTCTCTGGCTGCATTCCTGCAGCCATTTAATGTTGTGTACCTTATCCAATGCAGAAAATGTAGCAAAGGATCTTATGTTGGCACTTCGCACAACCAGACCACACTATGGGAGACCTCAATATTTTAGTTCTTAAAGGAAATTTCAAATCCATTCAGGAAAGAAAAACTTTTGAACTAAGAATGATAATTCTATTTGACACAAGAGATAACGGCCTCAATTTGGACATGGGATTCCTCACTCATTATCCGACAGTTTTATGACTCCCTCTGTGAGTGTTGCCCCCCCCCCCCCAGTCTTTGCTTTTGCTGTGTCTTATCTTTTTTCTAATCCTAGTCTTTTAACCATTTATGTGTACATCTGTGTGTGTTTCTTTCTGTTTTTTTTCTTTCATCCCCCACATCTCTTCTAACATTCTGCTAAAACTTTGTAATAGTACTGCTTGGACCTTGAAGAAGGGGACATACCCCGAACGCTTGTCCTCAAAATTGTACGTTAGTGCAAATAAAAAAACGTATCACGTCAGTACTCAATTGTTTCTGCAGCCATTGAGAAATACTGTGTGAGCTGCGATTGGTCACAGCTTGTCACATGGTACAAGGCTGTTGTGAATAGCCTTGTACCATGTGACCTCTGTGATCATTCACGGATTTCACAAGTACTAAGCAGGGGCGGACTGACTATTTAGCCATTCGGGCCCTGCCCGAGGACCCGGGGTCAGTAGGGGGCCCCATGAGATGCCCCTGGTACCTTTCATAGGCTTTTTTGGGTGTGGTTTAAGTGTAGGCAAGGACACAGGGGCCCCATGATTTTCTATTGCGCAGGGGCAATGGAGTTATCAGTCCGCCCCTGGTAGTAAGCAATGGTGTCAGAAGTGACATCTTGCTTACCACTCTTCATGTGATCACTGATTGGCCAATCAGTGATCACATGATCGGGACCTCACACAGAGGTCCTGTACAACGATCGGTGTTCCCCGATCGCGGTGCTGTGCGCTCCCGGGAGTGCGCACAAGTAGGGGGCTGAGAGGCCATTTATAAACGGCCACCACCCCTGCACTGCTCCTGCTGAAGTGGTTAATTTGGAAATACTACTTTAAAAAACACGGTATTCAGCAAGTATATCCAGGGTTTTTACCAAGTGACTAAATGGTTAGCCCTTCCACTAGCAGTACCAGGGTCGATGGCTCGAATCCCAAACATGGCACCGCCTGCCTTGATTTTGCATGTTCTTCCTGTGCCTGTGTGGGGTTCCTCCGGGTACTCCGGTTTCCTCCCACACTCCAAAGACATGCTGGTAGGTAAATTGGCTCTTGTCTAAATTGTCCCTAGTATGTGTATGTATGAATGTGAGTTAGGGACCTTAGATTGTACACCCCTTGAGGGTTAGGGACTGATGTGAATATACAATATATGTGTAAAGCGCTGCGTAAATTGACGGCGCTATATAAGTACCTGAAATAAATAAATACATGTCACACAGGGTTTTGGAGCCCTTAAAGCACTCGTCAGCTCCAGTCTCATAGTGCTGTAGACATGCTATATTTTAAAGCGGAGATTCACCTAAAAGTGGAAGTTCTGCTTTACGTCCTCCTCTGCCCTCCTCTGCCTAATTTGGCATGCAATTTTGGGGGGTAGGGCGGGTACCTAGTTTTGACAGGTACCCACTCCCACGTCTGCTCGGATCGCCTAGACAATCTCCTCTCCCCCTCCTTCCCCACAGTCTTCTGGGACATGTCACAGGTCTCAGAAGACTGCGGGACCATTCACAAAGTACAACTCAGCTCGCACATGTGCAGTGGGTAGCCGGATGTGAAGCAACAAGCAGCACAATCAACTGCCCACAGTTAGGATGCCGGTGTTGGGAACCCGTAGACTGTTAAAGAACTTTACATTATGGCATTGGCACATAATTATGGCATTGAGTGGCTTTTTTTTTTTGTTTGTTTAGCAACAAATAAAAACCCCAGTGGTGATTAAATACTGCCAAAAGAAAACTCTATTTGTCTCAAAAAAATGATACAAATTTAGTTTGGGTGCAGTGTTACATGACCGCGCAATTGTCATTCAAAGTGCAGCAGCGCTGAAAGCTGAAAATTATCCTGGGTAGGAAGGGTGTAAAAGTGTCTGGAAGGCAGGGGCGGACTGACCATTTAGAAACTCGGGCACTGCCCGAGGGCCCGGGGTCAGTAGGGGGCCCCATGAGATGCTCCTGGTACCTATTTCATAGGCTTTTTTGAGTTTGGGCAAGGATACAGGGGCCCCATGATCCCCTATTGCCCGGGGGGCCCCATGAATTGCCAGTCCGCCCCTGCTGGTAGGCATTAAAGTGTATCAAAAACCAAAACAGTCTGCGCTCTAGAAAGTAAAGTGAGAACAGTTACATTATTAAAAATTATTTTAAGGTTACAGGAATCGGCAAACATACCACTTTCTGTGCAGTTCTGCTCCACCTTCGCTGTTTCCACCTTCACCTTGATATCCTGGAATATCTCCTGGTACTGATCCTCTACAGCCACATCTGTTCGGTATTCTATCTCCACAATCACTTCATGATTCACAATAACACTGCCCATCCTGCCACAGATAAAGAACACAGAATATTGTTGGGTACGGAAAAAAATTTCAACCAATTTTTATTTTGGTTTTCAAAATGGAAAGGCCAAATATAATGGTGGCCTTCAAAATTATTATCTGTTCAAATCTGCAAACTATTGAAAAACTATAACTTCCCTTCCAAAAACAATTTCCACTCCATCTAGGTTGGATTTGATCAAACTGAGTTGATTGGTCAGGGAGGAAAATGATTGATCATTATTGAGATACTTTGTTCATGAATACATTGGTGGAAACACAGAAGGATAACTTACAATCCTTAATTACGATCATATCTTAACTATTGATTTAAATCCACTTCCCTGTATGTGTCATATCGATGGAATGGGTTGTCGACTATAGATCAACCATTTGTGTCAGAAGAGATTGAGTGGAAAAGACATAGACCATTTATTGTGTGTACAGCCATCGTTAGGCTCCATGTACACGGGACAATCTGAACGATGGAAACTGATTGCTGGAAAACGTAGGTTAAAAAACGTCTGTTAAGCCGCAATTGCATACCGCGTTTATGCGGATTTCTGAGCATTTGCGTTTAGAAGCGGTTTTTAACCCCTTCACGCCGGCGCCTCCTTGCCCTTTAAGAGTTTCAGAATCCGGGAGGCGGGACGGGCGGGGTTTAGGGATCATGTGACTGCCGTGACGCATCGTCACAGCGGTCACATGATCAGGAAAGGTCCTGATCAAAAGAGGAGACAGTGACCTTTCCGTGAGTACCGGACATGTGTGCTGGGAGCGCGCAGGGCGCGCGCTCTCAGCACGTATGTGTTTTGTATATTGAACGCAAATGTGCAGCCGCTTGGTGCTTGGTGTCATCTAGGCGGTCCAGACGCGTCCCATCTTGGCGACCTTTTCTGGGTACCTAGACATGTGTGCTGGGAGCGCGCAGGGCGCGCGCTCTCAGCACATATGTATTTTGTATATTGAACGCAAATGTGTGGCCGCTCAGCATCTAGGCCCAGACGCGTCATCATGGCGGTCACATGATCGGGAAAGGTCCCAATCAAAAGAGGAGACTGGGACCTTTCCGTGAGTACTGGACATGTGTGCTGGGAGCGCGCAGGGCGCGCGCTCTCAGCACATATGTATTTTGTATATTGAACGCAAATGTGCGGCCGCTCAGTGTCTAGGCCCACACGCGTCATCATGGCGGTCACATGATCGGGAAAGGTCCCAATCGATAAAGGAGACTGGGACCCTTCCGTGAGTACCGGACATGTGTTCTGGGAGCACGCAGGGTGCGTGCTCTCAGCACATATGTATTTTGTATATTGAACGTACTTCTGCGGCTGCTCGGCGTCTAGGCCCAGATGCCGGGAGGCCGCACATTTGTGCGTAGCCGGCATAAAGGGGTTAAAGATAAGCTCAGAAGACCTTCCAAAAGGCCCAGAATGCACTGAAAAACAGTAAAAAATTAACTATTTCAGACATTTTGAGAGAAATAGAGAGAGCAGAAGCAGAGATAGCAGTATGTGTTGAGATTAGCTGTCTTTTTTTTGTGGTGTTTGGATGTGTTCCAGCTCATTTCTGTGCAGAAATTATTGCAGCAGTGTCTAATATACTTTCTTTCATGCGAAACCTCAAAGTATGGTGTACCGGATCCATGTGAGTACCGGGAAAACACTTTGCATGCATTTTTCTTGATGAAAAAAGGCTCTGGACAGCATCTGGAAATGGAAGAGTTAACAAAAATATTCCAAACACAAACGCTTATAAACGCGGTTAGTCATGTTTACAAGCGTTTGGCGTTTGGAACGCTGATCAAATCTACTCCTGAACACAAGTTTTGTGCGTTCAAAAAAACGACTGTAAACTCAACTGCCTGTAAATGACAATGTGTACATGGACACATAGGAAAACATTAGGGTGAGTTCAGGAGCTGCTGAGAAAAACGCAGAAAAGCTCCTAAACGTGAGTTTATCAGCTGCAGTGTACATGGAGCTCTAAGATTAGGTTCTAGTATTGGGGTTACCAAGGTTGGATGGGGTCCAAACTGCAAACCCTAAAGTTTCACTTGAATGGGTTTTGGAGATCTCCATTGTTTTTGAGCAGAGAGGGACCACTAAAAATAATCCTCATCAAAAGAAACAACAAATAGAGCCCTCCAATGTATACCAGTGAGTGGCAAAGCCTTTTTCAGCATTTTCTTGATGTCTTCAAAATGATGTTTTTTACACCATGCTCCATCTACACCATGCTGCTTCTACACCATGCTCCATGTACACCATGCTCAATCTACACCATGCTCCATGTACACCATGCTCCATCTACACCATGCTCCATCTACACCATGCTCCATGTACACCATGCTCCATCTACATCATGCTCCATCTACATCATGCTCCATCTACACCATGCTCCATCTACACTATGCTCCATCCACACCATGCTCCATCCACACCATGCTCCATCCACACCATGCTCCATCCACACCATGCTCCTTCTACACCATGCTCCATCTACACCATGCTCCATCTACACCATGCTCCTTCTACACCATGCTCTATCTACACCATGCGCCATCCACACCATGCGCCATCCACACCATGCTCCATCCACACCATGCTCCATCCACACCATGCTCCTTCTACACCATGCTCCTTCTACACCATGCTCCATCTACACCATGCTCCATCTACACCATGCTCCTTCTACACCATGCTCCATCTACACCATGCTCCTTCTACACCATGCTCCTTCTACACCATGCTCCATCTACACCATGCTCCATCTACACCATGCTCCATCTACACCATGCTCCATCAGGCTGAAGTACACCTCCACAATGCCCACACCAGAATAACGTGAATTAATCTAAAAACTGAAGGTTAAAATTTAGAGATGTGTACAACAGAAAAATGTGTTTCATTTCAAATTTGTTTGTTAGGTTAATAATTTTTTTTTCATAATATTTGCTATGTTAGAATGATTTGTTTCTGGAATTCATTTTGTACATTCGGATTTGTTTAGTATTATTATTATTATTATACAGGACTTATATAGCGCCAACAGTTTGCTCAGTGCTTTACATTATGGAGGGACACAGTACAGCAACAATACAGTTCAATACAAGAGGGATTAGAGGGCCTTGCTCCTGGGAGCTTACAATCTAGGAGGGAGGGGATAGTGGTACAAGAGGTAATTAGCTGTGGGGGATGGACAGGTAGGAGGAGTAGTGGATTCTGGTATTAGCTGGGGACGGGGTAGGCTTCCCTGAAGAGATGGGTTTTCAGAGTGCGCCTAAAGGTGAGCAGAGTAGCTGATAGCCTGATAGCTTGGGGTAGGGAGTTCCAGAGGATGGGTGAAGCCCTTGAGAAATCCTGGAGACGAGCATGGGGAGAGGAGACATGGGAACTAGAGAGTAGGAAGTCTTGCGAGGAGCGGAGAGTACGGTTTGGGTGATATTTAGAGAGAAGATCAGTGACGTAATTTGGGGCAGAGTTATGAATGGCTTTATACGTCAGTGTTAGTGTTTTGAATTTTATCCGTTGGGCAATTGGAAGCCAGTGGAGGGATTGGCAGAGAGGGATGGAGGATACTGAGTGGAGGCCAGTGGAGGGATTGGCAGAGAGGGGTGGAGGACACTGAGTGGAGGCCAGTGGAGGGATTGGCAGAGAGGGGTGGAGGACACTGAGTGGAGGACACAGTGGAGGGATTGGCAGAGAGGGGAGGAGGACACTGAGTGGAGGCCAGTGGAGGGATTGGCAGAGAGGGATGGCAGATACAGAGCGGTTAGTAAAGTGAATGAGTCTGGCAGCAGCATTGATGATGGACTGGAGTGGGGATAGCCTTCGATGAGGTAGGCCAGTGAGGAGGGAGTTACAATAGTCGAGGCGTGATATAATTAGGGAGTGAATGAGTTGTTTAGTGGTTTCCGAGGTTAGGAACGGTCGTATCTTGAAGTATGTTTGTAATTTTCAAACTGATTCAAAATTCAAATTTACAATTCGAATTTCAGAAGACAACTATATACATTCTAGTCTAATCTATTTTTTCATTTTATTTTATTCTATTCTTTTCTATTCTATTCTACTTTATTCTATTCTTTTCTATTCTATTCTACTTTATTCTATTCTTTTCTATTCTATTCTACTTTATTCTATTTTTTTCTACAATAATATTTTCTATTCTATTTCTTTAGTGTCTTGTTTATTCTATTCTGTGTGTTTTTCCACGTTTGTTGCATATTTTGTCTCTCTGTGTCTCGCTTCCCATGTTTGGCGTGCCAAGCGAGAAGCACATTTTTTGCACACATTCACACACTACACAGTGTGAATGCAGCTAATGAAGGGAGCCGAGAAAAGTTGAAAGAAAAACTTAGAGATCTCTGCTTTAAAATTTGGGGATGAATTACATAACAGCGACAGCAGCTACAGAGATCAGTGATGGCTTGTTTCAAAAGCTCCTAAAGAATATGGAAGGTTATTTATTTCATAAGTCTGGCCACAAATAAATATCCATGCTTTTGATAAACTTACTTGATTTCTGTAATGTTCACATCTTTGTATCCAGGGACACTGGAATAGACTGATCTCATCTGCATGGAGAGATGTGACAGGTAATTCATTATATGTGATGTTAATTCTAAAATAAATTATGGCAGCCAGATTTAAAAAAAAAACGTTCTGATCACTCACCTCTGTTTTAAATTGAGCTTCAAAATCCATATATTCTTCTGTT